TCCCCCGCTCTTTAACACTCTGCTTTAAGCCACTTCTAAACACTTCAATTTTAGACGCAAAAAGAATCTTAAGAAATCATTCACTAAAACCCCCTGCCCAGCATGTAAGTAGGACATGACAACAAACCTGCATTTTACATACATGAGATAGAAGGAGGTCAACTGATTTCACTCAAGCTCACCCTGCCGCTTCGTCCCTAAAGCCTCCCCTAGACTAGCCTCCTCACCTCTCTGGCTCTGCCTCCTTCCATAAGAGCTAGTCCTCCAATATCATATCACTTATGTGTCTGTTTGGTGTCTGTTACCTGAAAGCGTCTGTATTTTCATTTGTTCATTTTAAGGAAGAGGGACACGTGTGCATATTGTAATTCACTCCAACACTGACTGGGCATGCATTTAACATTGCTCAGTCTCTGTCTATATCTCTCCTTACACACACACCTTATAGTAAGCACAGCCATTTCAGATATCTTTGGATGTGCCCCACTCTGAACCACAGACTCAGGCTTAAAATATCTGGACATCAGAAAACAATGTAACTAATTTCTACTTAATTAAGGCTTAACTACTACTCAGTGAAATACAGATTTTTCTTTTATAGAATCTATCAAAAGTATGATCATAAGCTATTGCTAATGCATTAGAAGGCTAAAGGCAACTTTATAGTATAAAAGCTCTATCAATGTGGTCACCAGACACCCTAAATCCCATATCTATCCTATGAAATCTAGTCTAAAAACCAGCCACCAGTCAATCAGTTCCTCCACAGCTCCTGCAGTCCTCCCTCCTAAAGACCCTACGCTGTAAGTTTGACAATCGATTCTGACAACACCCCAGTTTAACCTACCCACAGGCATAACACTTATTCCAACACTCCACAAGTATTTATTGAGCCTCTACTATGCGCCAGGCACTGTACTAAGCACTGCAAATATAATGGTGAACAAGATGTTGGCCCTGCTTGTAAAGGATTTTAAAGGCTAGTGGGAAGATGGGCAGAGGCAGCAGAGGGATCTATAAAAAGGTCATGAGGAATAATGGGGTAGAGTGGAAAGAGCCAAGAAACCTCAGTTCTAATTCAGTTTCCTACTACTCTAGTAGTCTAAGATTTGGCAAGCCATGTTCTCTCTCAGGGCTTTAGTCTCCTCAATCATAAAACAAAAGAATTAGATAAGACGAATTAGATATTCCTTTGGTGGTCTAGTGGTTAAGATCTGGTGCTCTTGCCACTATGGCCCAGGTTCGTTTCCCAGTTAGGGAACCACACCACCCGTCTACCAGTTGTCATACTGTGGCAGCTGCATGTTGCTGTGATGCTGAAAGCTGTGCCATCAATATTTCAAGTATCAGCAGGGCCATGCATGATGGACAGGTTTCAGTAGAGATTCCAAACTAGACAGACTAGGAAGAAGGACCTGGCCACCCATTTCCAAAAAATTGACCCTGAAAACCTTATGAATAGCAGTGGAGCACTGTCTGATGTCACATCATAAGAGAGGATGGCGCAGAAAGACTGGGCAGGGTTCCCCTGCCGGGAGTCAGAATGAACTCAATGGCACAAACAACAAAAGGTCCTTTTCAGCTTTAAGAGTCCACGTTCTAAAAGAAGATAAAATAGTGGCAGCAATACTCACCGAAGGCTTATCATGTGCCAGAAATCTTGCTAGGCACCATTTACTTAAGATACGGAATGGCAGTCCTGGTGTTACTGCATCATTTTTGTTTTTTAAGTTTTTTAAACTGGAAAGATTTGATTATATTTGTGTGTGTGTATTTATTTTTATGGTTATGCTCTATTTCCAAGAAGAATTTGAAGTGACTTACAGTAAAAATAAAGACTGTGCCTTAAGAGAAAGTAAAGACCACATTAAGTAATAAATATGGGAAGAGTATACCAAAAATTATTTTTTAAAAATTATAGGCCATTTGGAAAGCCATGATAACCGAATTGAAAACTTTGTCCTAATCCTAAACTTTCTGACAGCCAAAGCAAAGATGAAAACACAACTGGACACATAGGTCTTCGAAAAGACACCAGCTCAACAGAGAAAGATTTTTCAGGCTGAGCTTTTAGAAGAATTTGTTACCAGGTTTTTTGTTCAGTTCTAGTAGGGAAAAGGGAAATGAAGAGTGAAGGGAAATAAATTTAAACAAACCAGTTTTTCAGATATTTAAAAGTTTGACTTTATGATTATATATCTTATGGTTCAAGTTAATTTTTTTCAGTTAAGATATATTTTGTGATTAACTTAGAAAGGACCTTGGGTTAACTATTACGCTATCTGCCTATTTGAAAGAAGGTTCATTTTCAAAGGCCTGTAGAACTTCATTAATTGTGCTGCAAAGCCCTCTTTGCTTTGAATTTTTCAAATGAAAATAGACTGAGCTGCTGGCAAGACTCATAGCCAGAATCCACTGATGGATTCCTTCCTGAATAACCATCCTATCATGCCAACTCACTCTTAACCTCCATGCTTTTGAGTTTAAGAAAGTTTATAAAATAAATAAGTAAAACAAATGTAGATTCATTTGATTTAAATACAGTTATGAAAACTTTAAAAGCTTTTACATATGAACTCTCTTTAGGAAAGAACTTGTAGAGATAACCTCTTCTTTTGTTGTTGTTTAACAGATAGAAAGACATGTATCTGAAATATCCAAAAAATATTGACGGTGCTAATTCCTTTTTTTTAATTGTGGTAAAATATATAGAACATAAAAATTACCATTTTAACTATTCTAAGTTTACGGTCACATTGAGTTGCAACCATTGCCACGCTAATTCTTTTTTAATATATCCATATGCTACATCTCATTGCTAGCACTAACAACTCCATATTGCTTTCCTAAATATCATTTGGAACTGAAACTTAATATTTTCTTATCTAAGAAAAAAAGTTTGTCGACTAAATAAGAGATGCAATTCACCATATTACCATAACAGATTTTCCAACCTAAGGTTTCATTTCCATGACATGAGCAAACTATTTCCTAATGTGATAACCCTACAAACCAAATCCAATTAATTGTTTTAGTAACTTTACTAATAATTGAACTCAGCCAACAGCCTTGGATATTTGGAAAAAATGAATGCTGAGATCCAGATATGTGTAACACCAATTACAAACATTTCTTAAGAGTAAAATGTTAAGTGAATATTTTCCTATAAATTAGGAAATTGTGGCTCAATAATATAGGGTAAGGGCAAGAATGGGCCAAGGAGCAGGAAAAGAAGATACATTACAGATATTCCAGAGCCACACATAATCAAAAGCACACCCCTATGTATACACTTTACATTTTGCCCTTTAGAGAAGAATTTTCTAAGTTCCTTGCTAGGCATTTCTAAGTAATGAAATATTAACCTGTTACTCCCTTTAAAAGAATGAGTTACAAGGGTAGAGAGTGAAACTGGCAATAAGTAATTCACCTGTTCAATACCCACTCCAACTAATTGGGGCAATTTGGCCTTGGAATCCTATTTGGACTTTAATAAAAAACTTTTTCCAAGTCATTTCAAATTATGAGATATTAATTAACTAATCATAGATTGCCCAAAGCAACATTTATTTGTTTCGGGGAGTATTATTGTAACTTGATTGGAATGAATAATACGATCTTTTTCTCTTTTCAGTAGATCCCTCTTATAATTGTTAAGATATGCCTGCTATAAATGGGGGGAAATCCATATACACAATCAACAGCTAACAACCCTTAGTCAAGCAATCTTGAATGTTTTAACTTTAGAGGGCATCTATAGTTCAAGCTTATATGCACAATTGCAAGAGTTTCATCTTCATCATAAATGGAAAGTACACTGGCTTACATCTTACTTATTGGGTCCTGATTACATCAATCAAGCCTAAGTGGCTACAATACAGTGGCCATTCAAGAAGTGTCAAATGGGCCTTCCTGGAAGAAGGAGTTACCATTTCCTAGAGAAGGGAGGCATTTAGGGGAAGGGGTGGTTTAGTGAATTTTACTCTCAGAAATAACAGAAAAATCAGACTGCTCCAAAAGAACATAGACAAAAAGGATTCAGATATAAAAACAACATCAGAAATCACAACAGTACATACTTTATAACATTCTTAAACTTAATAGCTTTTTTGGGTCATATTTATTAGTAACTAGCAATAAAAAACTTTAAGATAAAAAGGGTCCAGGTGTATGTTCAGAGGGGCAGCAAGGAAAGATCTACTTCACAGTGCTGCAGGGAAGGAAGAGAGAAACCCTAGAAATAAAGGTGAACAATACCACTTTTCGTTGTTTAAAAGACAACAAAATGGGTAAAGATTGTGTCCTTTCATCTTTATATTAAAACAGAAAGCATGGCGTGTAATAGCTGTTCACAAAATGCCTGTTGAATGAATTATGCCTTCCTAGCTTCCTTCTTCCATTTCTTCCTCCCTTCCTTTCTTCCTTCCTTCTATCTGTCTATCTACCCTTTCTTCTTTTTTCCCTTCCATCTAGCCCTTCAGTATTCCTCCATCATCCAACATCCATCCAATTCCTCCCTCCTTTCCTCTACAGGCCCTGCAAAGTCTAGAGGATCAAGAGATTCTTTGACAAGGGTCTTAAAAACTTTTCAGTTTGCCCTCTTGGAACCTATCTAAATATATTTTAGTTCTAGGCATTGAAAATAAAATCAACTCTGGCCTCACTTCCTACTAAGAGAGAAAAGTCCACTGAAAGAATCCATGAATATTGTCAGCTGAAGGCTTTGTTGTTTCCTCCTAGGATAGAAAGTTCACACTTTGCAGCAGAGCAATTAGCACAATCCTACCCAAAGGAAACTAGATATGGGTAAATTTTATTTTTCTTTAAAAATTCAGGTCAGCCCCTTGTCCCTAATCCATATTTGAAAACCAGTTCCCATCTCTTTTCCCAACTCCCCCTCCCCCAAAGTAGTTACAACAAACGCTTTTGCTCCCCCAGTCCTTTTTGTCTGCTACCCCAAAATGAAAGAACCATGACTGAATTCAGTATCAGCCTCTTACCCTGCCAAGAAAGCTAAGGAGTAGGAGTTGTTCTTGGAAACAAATGCCGAGCGATGTGTCTGTGTCATCTTGCCTCGTGAAGGTTCTTCATTCTCTGAATCTGAGAGACGTGCAGGACACTAGCAGGAGACAAGGAAGAAAAAAACTGTCCATTTGGGGTTCCCATGGAATCTCCCACAGCTATCGTTTCAAATCTATTACACGTCACTTCTCTCTCAGCTCCAATCTACGTTTCCAATTGCCTCCAGGAGATCCCAATCTGGATATCCCAAATGCAGCTCAAACTTAGTATATCCAAAATCAACTTACTATTTCTCTTCTCTAAGCCCCACTACCAACCCAGCAGAAGCCTCAAAATGTCATCTACAAAACTCTCCTTTCCCTTTCTTCGAAGGCATAACCAAATCGTATACAGGTTTTGATACCCCAACACCTCTGGATATTTCATTTCATTTACTCTTTATATTAGCCCTATAAAAAAAGGGATTATTACCTGTCTTTTACGGATGGCAAACTGAGGCTCAGAGTACAGTAGTTAATTTTCCCAGGATTGTAGAATTAATAAGCAGCTAATGCTAGTACTTAAATCCAGGGCGTCTGTCTCCAAACTGCCTCCATGTTGTTTCCACTCGACTCTACCCAACTCCTCAAACGTCTCTCAGATCTAACCCTTCCCACATATACTCACTGTCAGTGCCTTTCCTTTGATTCTCTCATCTTCTGCCTGGACTATTGCAATAATCTAATTACTGGTCTTGCTCTCTCCAGCCTTTCTTCCCTCCAATCCCCTCCATGCCATCAAGCACACAGACAGAATCCTGTCACTTTCCTGCTTAACAGTTGGTGACTTCAGGATAAAGTCTATGATACAATAATCTTCACAAACAAGACCCAACCTTCTTTCATAGTTTTTCTCCCATCAGCTCCCACCCAGGGAACTACCTGAGCCCTAGTACAACCCAACTACTTTCTACTTTCCACATGCACCATCACAGTTTTTCAAAACCTCTCTTCTTTTGGACCTGCTATATTCCCTTAGCCTGAAATTCCCCTTCCACATTCTCTGCCTATAAAATACTTATTGGCCGCCCACCCTGTGGCGTAGTGGATAAGTTTGGTGGGCTCCACTTTGGTGGCCCAGGTTCATGGGTTTGGATCCTGGCCACAGACCTACCACCACTCATCAGCCATGCTGTGGTGTCAACCCACATATAAAGTGGAGGAAGACTGGCACCGATGTTAGCTCAGGGCTAATCTCCCTCAGCAAAAAAAATAAAATAGGGGCCAGCCCCATGGCTGAGTGGTTAAGTTCACGAGTTCTGCTTCGGCAGCCCAGGGTTCACCAGTTCAGATCCTAGGCGTGGACCTACACTCTGCTCATCAAGCCATGTTGTGGTGGCATCATACATAGAAGAACTAGAATGACCCACAACTAGGATATACAATTATGTACTGGGGCTTTGGGGAGAAAAAAAAAAAAAAAGAGGAAGATTGGCAATAGACGTTAGCTTAGGACCAGCTTAGGGCCAATCTTCCTCACCAAAAAGAATAGTAAAATTCTAAAAAAAAATAAAAATTTAAAAATATACTCATTGGCCTTTCAGAAGAATGTTAAATATTACTTTCTCTGCAAGAACTTCCAAATACCCCTACACTCAGCTTTTCCCATCTTAGTGATACTCATTCATTTACCTTCATTTTATTTTAGAGTCTCTTTTTGAGTCTTTCAATTTCCATTTGAATTTTTTTTTTACATGTGCCTTGTGCATACAACATATAGTGAGGATTTGCCTCTTGATTCAATATGAGCGTCTTCTTTTTAAGGGAAGCAACTAATCATACTGAACTGTAGCTTCTTATTTAGGAGTCTGTCTTCTGCTTTAGACAATAAACTCTGTGAGAATAAGTGACCATCTTTTCTTGAAAACTCTCAAACCATTATATAGCAGGTAAATGAAAACTATCTACTCATCTAATGATTAACCAGTTATCTAATGATCAAATGACTATCAGAGTTATAGACAGACGCATACAAGGCATCTTTTGGCTCAGAGTACCCTACATTTCTTAAATGTTTTGTTATTCTGGAGGCTGATAGGCACATACTTACAATACGCTATGTTTCTAAACAGTTAGCCTTTGAGAAAGAGTTGAAGGATTACAATTTACAGAGAAGCTTTTCAATTTTATAGGGCATTCCTCCTTAAAGAACCCTGTTGTACAAATCAATCACCAGAGAAACTTTAATACCACTAACCCATTATCAAATTTTATACAATATTCTCTTCACAACTCTGGGGAAAAAGAAAAAGCTTTGACATCAATAGACTCAACAGGAGCTAAATAATGGCAATTTCTGTTTATTTAGGTCTTAGACTATAGTCAATTCAGTACTAAATACAAGAATGCCCAAACCCCAACTCTATTACCTAGCTATCACTGTCACTGTGGGTTGGCTGCTTTATCTTTCTGAGCCTCAGTTTCCTCATCTATAAAATAAAGATTGCTGGAGCCAGCCCAGTGATGCAGTGGTTACGTTTACATGCTCTACTTCAGTGGCCCAAGGTTCACGGGTTCAGATCCTGGGTGTGGACTTACACGCTGCTCATCAAGCCATGCTGTGGTGGCGACCCACATACAAAATAGAGGAAGACTGGCATGGATGTTAGCTCAGGGCCAATCTTCCTCACCAAAATAAATAAATAAATATTGCTCCATCTACCACATAGATTGTGATAACCCATTAAAAGCACCTAGTAAATTAGCCAACAAGTAGTAAGTGCTCAACAAAACATAGATTTTGTTTGTATCAATTTAAATCCTATTAATCTTTTAAGAAAAAATTTTAGTATTATAATAATTGTTGAAAAATAAATTTACATTATTATAAATAATTATATAGACAAAAAGTACTCCCCCATCCCTCTATATTTCTACTCCCACAAAACTTAGAATCATAAGATAGGAAAATATTTACCTCTTATATTTCACTTTGGATAAAAATAAGCCTATAGCAGTATGGATTCCTAAAAATGGTATAAAACACACATAATGAAATCCCTGAAGCAATATTTTAGAAAATGTTGTACCCCCAAAAATTAAAAGAATGATAATACCCAGAGTTGGCAAGAGTGTGAGGAAATTAGTTTAGTACTTTCATGTTCTAATGGTGGGAGCAGAACTATATACACACTTTCTGGAGGTCAACTAGTAATAAGTACCCAAAGTCTTAGGGAGGATACTCCCTTTGACCTGGTCATTCCACTTCTAGTAATTTATTCTAAGGAACTAATGAGACAAGTGGATTTCATCACAGTGGTGGCTTAAGATAGCAAAATATCAATGGGAGATTAATTAAATAAATTCTACAGTAAAAAATACTAAGAGACCACTAAATAATGATATGGGGTTCTTTATTTACATGGAAAGACATCCACGATTTATAGTTTATAAAAAACGATTATAAAACAGTATGTACACTTGGCTGCATTTTCTGAAAAGAGAAAGAATATATAGTATGTATGTATATGTGCACTTAGAAAATAAGTCTGGAAGGATATTTACCAAAATGTTTATAGAGGTTATCTCTAGCTTGTGGGATGACAAGAAGTTTTTCGCTTTCTGCTTTCAAATCTTTGGTATGACTATAATTGTTATATTAAATTGTTTTCCAACAATTTACAATTATTTTTGGTATTAATTGTACCATAACAAATCATAATAAATTAAACATTGTGCCCATTTTATTTCCATTCTGAATAAAAGATAATAATCTCTGTTTCTAGAATAATCTCTTTCCTCCCTCTATTTGAATTCAACATAATAAACATGTACCAAACATTTGTGATGTGGAAGGTACTACAGGAGATTTAAAAATAGGTAAGACACATTTCTTACGTTCAACAGACCTACAAATCTAGTAGAGAAACACAACACACAAATAACCACAAAAGGAAGAATGAAATAAGTCCTGTAAGGTTACAAAGTAGGGGGAGGGAATTGAGAGGGGAGAGAGTGGATGATAGGAGTGGAAAAACAAGTGAGGAATCTCTCTATGTTCCATGAAGGTGACAGTTTTTGAACTTGGACATGGAGAGGTGAATAGCCTTTCAACAGGTAAGCTGGGTGCCATTTCAATGAGATGAAAATGCAAGAGCAAAGACTCTAAAGAGGGAAAGCATAGAATATATATTTTGGGGGAAGAAAACAGCTCTGTTCCCTAGAATTTTGGGATGTAAGCAAGGATGGAAAGATAAACTAGAATAATACTAAGGACCTGAATGTGGGAGTGAAGAGTTCTCATTTAATTCCACAGGAAATGGGGAGTCACTGAGGTTTTGGGGGCAGGAGAGTGAAATGATCAGTCCAGCTCTAATTATAATACTCTTTATATAAAATATAATCCTTCATCTAGCTTTCCACTGAGACCATTTGAGCTTTTCTTTGGTCCCAATTTGAATGCAGCCTTGGCTAAACTAAATGAAATTCTTTGTTCAACATCAAAAACTCTTAAAACACATTTAAAGCAAAATTAGAGCCATTCAAAAGTCCTCAAAAGTATAAAAGCAAACAGAAAAAAAGGTAAAATCACAAAAAACTAAAATGTGAAGTGTTCATAGATTGGATTTCATTCAATGTGTTTTTGCATAGAAAATTTTGTAAAACTGGCTATTACCAATAAAAATGAGTCTGAGAATTTGTGCTTCTTGATTTCTTTTAAAATTAAAACTAGGTTGATGCAATTGATTTCTATTTCAGAGACAGTAGTGGCAAAAGAAAAAATAATTAGAGCGATTTCCCAGTCTTGACATAAATTAATACTAGAGATCATTTCGTAGAGGAAACCTGGATCTGGCAAGGCCAAAAACACCAGGTTCTTTCTATCAAAGGCCCACAGTGAAGGGTAAGCTCTCTTTTGTCAGGATTGGTTTATCCTAAAAAGAAAGGTCCTTCTGGGTTGTTTTGCCTGAGAGCCCTAATGGATAGTCCTGTTGGGGTGAAAGGGCAAAATTGCAGTCTTTAGAGACCACAGACCACAGTTGGGGCTGTTAGTCAGAAGACATACTATATGGTACAAGACTATCATATATTTCATTCTTGCCTTCCTACGTAAACTGTATCCTCTCCAGTAGCTAGTCTTTTTCCTTTTGTAGCTCCCAACGAACAGAGCATTAAGAGTATACAAGTATTTCACGTTTGTTAAACTGAATCTTTTTGAAGGTTGAAACTATAAAATGCAAGTGGTTATTTTTAATAATAATTGAATAATAATTATTATTATAACCAGAATCAAAAAGCCCCACATGTATGTTGACAGTCAACAAATACTATCAATCCAAGAAAATTTAAAAGATTTCAATTTTTGAAGTTCAGGAAAAATGCCTTTGCAAAGAGTAAGCCAAAAGCACAGAGAAATTAAGTAACCTAACCAAAGATATACGGCCTGTTACAATGCTGGGGCCTGTTTAAGAGAAGATATCTGGTCTAGAGATTGTTTTCCTCGATTCTGCTACGTTGTCTGCCTTTATGGTAAAGCTTTGTTAATTCCAGCTAATTAGAAAGATAACCTAAAATACTAACAAGCCTGAATCACAAAATATTTTAAAAGATATGACTCTATTGATATGTTAAGTACATATAGCAAGCAATAAAAAGTGTCTGATCCAATATGACTTACTAAGAAAAAAAAATCAATGGAAGGGGCTGGCCCTTTGGCCAAGTGGTTAAGTTCACTCGCTCTGCTTCAGCGGCTCAGGATTTCGCCGGTTCAGATCCTGGGCGCGGACATGGCACCGCTCATCAAGCCATGCTCAGGCGACATCCCACATGCCACAACTAGAAGGACCCACAACTAAAAATATACAACTATGTACAGGGGGTCTTTGGGGAGAAAAAGGAAAAAATTTTTAAATCTTAAAAAAAAAATTCAATTGTAATTGTCCATTTGAGTGTAATCAGTGGACCCTCCAAAAGTGCTTTCTTTTATAAGTTAAATATACCACTTACAACCTGTTCCAGTAATTTGTTGGTAAATAAGTAATGAAAAGAATTCAGTTAGGATTTGGCCCAATTAGAAGTCTAATTAGGTTAAGTTTAAACTAATCTAATATTAAGGACCTACCTTATATCTAGCATTGTGCATTATATATAATTTAGGGCATTATAAAGAATAAAGGGAAGTAAAACACAAGCTTTAAGGAAATCTAGCTTAGGATATAAGACATACAAAACTCAAATTCAAATAATAACACAAGTCAAAATGACAATATACATTTAAACTTTACCACAAGTAGTATACTATATACCACACTTTTCCTCTCACTTGCCTTTTTTCCGCACTGTTCCCTTAATCTTTCCATGCGAGTCCCATTGTCCCATTCATAAATTATTTTCTCCAGCTCTCATCTGGACACTAAGTTCTTCAGTACTCTTAAGCTGCAATGACTGTTACTGGTCTCATAGTCCACCAACATAGGTTTTTCAGATCCCTGTCGCCTGGGCTAATTGCTAATTTTGCGGCACATGTCCATCAAAAAGGTGATCTACTTACAAGCTCTAGATTTGTTTTCGGTACTAATGGCTCATCTCTTTTTTTCTGTTCATCCATTTTCCTTTTCCCTGTTTCTGTATCCTCTGGTGACAGCTTGTGGATTTGATCTTCAGAAGTTTTCTCCTCTTGCAACTTTTCTTCTCTCAGCTAAAAATACAAATCACACCAAGACAGTAGAGTTTTAGGCAACTATAGACTTACAGGCATCTCAGTAGTCTATTAGAACAAACAGATCACATGGCATTTTTGAGACTATTTTTCTCATTGGATATAAAGCTCTAGTAATTTTCAAATAAGTCTGCTTTTACTTGACTTGTGCCAAACATACACTTCACGGCTTAAGATTTAACTGCTCCGCATTCTTGAGCAGGATGAAGCCATAAAAGCTAAAATACACATAATCAAAAAATAAGGTTTATTCACTTAGCCAAAAAAGGCTGAACCTAAAAACTTTCCTTATTTCCATAAAATGGATTTAATTGCATTGGACCAAGAGAACAGCAAAGATGAAGGCCACAGAGGGCCAGAGAAGCTGGGCTAGGCAAGACAGGTCTCTTTAAGCTTAGTGGCAACAGAAAAAAATGACTTATCACAGTTCTAATGTCCTATAATTTATGCTATTATCTTGTGGTCCATGGGATAGGTCAAGATACATGGTCTACAGAAAAATTTAAGGCAGAGGCATATGCTCCTCATTTGGGGGAGGTACGATGGCATTATGAAAATAAGATGGGCTTTGGAATAAAAAACCTGGGGTCTAGTGGTTCTGTCACTTATTTACCAGCTATATGATCTTGGGCAAATGAACCACCACATGCTCATCTACAAAATAGGGGTAATGCTACTTACTTGGCAAATATTGTGGTAAGAAGTCAATGAGATAATAAAAGAACTTAATATAGTGTCTTGCTGTGTACTTAGAGTACATCAAGCGTTCCCTTTATCTCCTTTTATTCTCTTTTCACTGGCCAGAGTTTTAATAAAATTTAAATGACATAATATATATCAAAGCAATTACAGGCTACTAACATTTTTAATCATACTTGCAAAAAAAATTAAGCTAAAGAACAAATAAATATTTTTCATTGGCTGTTGCCTCAGGGTTAAAAAACAAAAACAACAATAACAATAAATGACAATAATGATTTAGTGTCTTATCTTTCCAATTTCTATAGGTCTGATTCCCATAAGCGTGAACTAGTCTTTAATATAGTAAGTCTAATTCAAGAGGTTATGAATATGCAAAGAATACCACACACAATGCTATCCCAAGAGGAGATTCAAATGAAATAATGTACTCCCAACTCTGCCCAAGTCAAACAAGAACATGAGAGGAAAAAAAGTAAATCCTTAGCCAGGGAGAAAGCAAACCTGAAATGTATGCTAGCTGCCCACATGAAAGATCAATGCCTTTTGATGAACTTAGATGAGAAATTCTTGTTCAACAACTTGACCACAGCCTACACAAAGGGGCATTTCACTTTCAGTGGACAGAGGCCGAGTGGCACAAAAGAGAACAAGTTCTAGCATCATAATAATAGTTACCATTTACTGAACTCTAGGTGTCAGCTGCTGAGCTAAGCACTGGACATACATTATCTCACTTAGAAAAGGTTTAAGAGTTAGGTAATATGTTCAAATTTACAGACCCATAGCCCTGGAGGTGGAATTCAAATCTAGGTTTATCTCAGTGGTTCTCAACCAAGTATGATTTTGTCCCCCAGGGTCTACTTGGCAATGTCTGGAAGCACTTTTGGTTGCCACACCTGACGGGGTGGGGTCTATGTGCTACTGGCATCTAATGAGTAGAGGCCAGGGATTGCTGCTAAACCTCCTAAATGCAGAGGACAGCCCCCAACAATATGTACATACACAGATGTTGCTATTTTTTTAAAAAACGAAATATTAAATTTCATTTTATATATATATATGTTAGAGTTATTTTGTTTAGTGCTCAATGGTGTTTACATACTACGTCTCTGGCTTTTCTAGTGTTTTAGAATGTATCCTTCTGCCTCCTAATAATTTTGTTGCTGCTCTCAAAGTTTTTGACAATGGACTTGTGTTGCTGGCAAAACAACCTTTTTATTGTAATATTGAGCCTTTGCTAACAAAGCATCATCTTAACAAAGCTAAAAATTTACAAAATTGAAAAACCTACATATCCATTTAAATCTTCATATGAATGACATTGGTGTTTTTCCAAACTGGGTTCTGTAGGAGTTAATTTTTTGTCCCTTTTGGTGGTTATTTATAAGGACTTGAGAACTTGTTCTCTAGGAAAGAGTTTTTATACTCAGGGAAAATGCCTCAGGGAGTGTCAGAAAGTAGTATATAAACTTGAATAAGAAATATCAATAGCTGCTGTTTATTGACCTCTTCTATGTTCCAGGCATTAAGTTTATAGAGCTTACCTCATTTATTCCTTAATGGCTCTGTTTGCATCTATCATTATCATTTTTTAGATACATAAATTAACACTCAGTGGTGTTAACTATGACTCAAAGTCACAATGATTGAATATTGAAGAGCTTGGATTTTAAAGCAAACCACTGGCTTCGGATACCAGGGTTTCTCAACCTCAGGACTACCAACATTTTGGGCTAGATAATTCTTTGTTGGAGGGGGCTGATCAGAGCCTGAGAAGGCTTATACATGAATACTTTATTGGGGAGCAGGAGTTAAGGATGTAGTAGCATAAAAAGGAAAGACAGAGAGCCAATAAAAGTGGTGCAACAGTTGGCCCAATAGTTGGCTATAGAGGAAAATATGAGAAACTGTATGAAATGCATCTCAAGACTGTCAGTCTCAAGTGCGAAAAAGGGAATATTTATTGACTCCCCCCTCCCCACTGACCAAAATCTGCTCCATGGGCTGTTAAACACCCCTCACACTAGCTTGTACAACTTGAGTAAATTCCTATAGCAGGCACTGCAGCAGTGACAAGAGAGAAGCCCCAGAGCTAAAAGCAAGAGGCAAGCAGTAGGAGTCTAAATAAGATCTCAGGCTGTACCAAAGTGAAACTGCCCACCACTCTAAGTGGAATGATTTTCACTGCTTCCATTTTCAGATGCTAACTACTAGAAAAAACTATTGCCTTCTGTTTAATCTCATACTCAGTCACACTACCAAGAATACCATGCAGTTTTTTCCTGAAAATATCTTTACTTTGCTCTCACTAATTTTTAAAAATAAACTTTTAAAAATCAAAGCATTATACACAGAAAAGTGTACACATCATAAATGTAAAGCATGATAAATTATACAAAATAAGCATATCCATGTAACAACCACCCAGATCAAGAAACTGTTTATTACCACTATCCCTTGTGCCTACTCTTTACCCAAAAGTAACCAAGATCCCAGCTTCAACACCAAAAAACCATCTTACCTACTTCTGAATTTTATATAAGTGGAATCTCATATGTGTACTGAATCCGTCTTTCTTCAGTCACTATTCTGTGTGTGAGATTCAACCATGTAGGTGCGTATAGTAGCTTGTCCCCTCTCATTGTTTTATAGTATTCCATTGTTTGACTATAAAACAATTTAACCATTCCACTGTTAATGGATATTTGAATAGTTACTAAGTTTTGGCTATGTACAAATCAACTACTATGAACATTTTTTTTTTGAGCAAGATCAGCCCTGAGCTAACATCTGTACCGATCTTCCTCTACTTTATATGTGGGATGCCTGCCACAGCATGCCTTGATGAGTGTGCCATGTCCGCACCTGGGATCCGAACTGGCAGACTCCGGGCTGCTGAAGTGGAATGTGCGAACTTAACTGCTGTGCCACCGGACCGAACATTCTTGAATATGTAACCTGATACACATATAGTTCTGTGGGGTATATTCTAGAAGAGAAACTGTTTAGTCATAAGGTATATGTTGCCATAGTTTTCCAAATTGGTTGTACAAATTACACTCCTACCCCCTAATGTAGCAGAATGATTGTTGCTCTCAGCCTTGTTAACACTCAGTACTATTTGCCTATTTTAGCCATTCCAGTGAGTATATATTGGTACTGCATTATGACTTCAAATTGCATTTCTCTGATGACTAAAGTTGTAGAGCAGCTTTTCACATATTTATTGACTATTTGGAAATCCTCTTTTATGACGTGCCTATTCACATTGTTGCCCTTTTTTCTTTTAGATATGTGGGTTTTTTTCTCCAGTAATTTGTAGGAGTTATTTATATTTTTTGGATATGAGGCAGTTTTCAAGAAAATAACATATACATACATATACATACAAGATATATATGTAAACATATGTGTATGCATATACTTTTCCCTCTCACATGGTAGCTAGCCTTTTTCACTCTCTTAGTGGCACATTTGAAGACAAGAAGTTCCAGGTTTTAATGCAGTTTAATTTAACATTAGTACTTTTTATATCTTGTTTACGAAATTCTCCCATGTTATCTTTAAGGAACTTATTACTTGAGCATATACATTTAGATCTACGATCCTCTTAGAATTGATTTTTTAAAATCAACCATGTTAAAACATAATCTACGTATGATAAAATGAACACATATGGAATGTATAGCTCAATGAATTCTGACCAATGTTTCTAGCCACATAACCATCTCCCTAATTGAGATACAGAACATTTTTACCACCCAAGAAAGTCCCTTTAAGTCCTCTAGCAATCAATACCCCACCCTACACAGCCCTAGGCAACCCCTAATCTGATAACTATGACTACAGATCAGTTTTGCCTATTATAAAAGCATACAGCATATATTCCTTTGTATCAGGCTTCACTCACTCAGCCTATTTTCGAGATTCATCCATGTTGCTGAGTTTATTATTAATACATTCCTTTTATGGATGAGGTATATTCCATTGTGTGAAGATATCACAATTTGTTTATCCATTCAAGTGCTGGACATCTGAGTTATATTTAATTTGGGGCTATTATGAATAAAGCTGCTATGAACATTCATGTCTTCTTGTGGAGAGATGTTTTTATTTTGTTTGGCTAAAGAGGTACAAGTGGAATTGCTGGGTCACATAGTAAGTATATGTTTAAATTTATAATGCAAAATGTTTCTCATGGTGGTTATACCATTTTATACTCCCACTAGCAATGCATGAGTGTTCCAGCTGATTCACATTCTCACATTCATTCTTAC